AATGCTTATTCAACTTGATGATATTTTTACAGATGATGTTAATATCACGATTGTTCTAGATGTATGTATGTAACTACCCAGATAAGTAAGAATTGATTATTTTCAAAAACGAAAAGGTAGAATCAAGAAGAAATCCACTTCCACATTAATCATAAAGAAATATCACAGTTTAATATCAACCATTTTAGATAGATTATAGTCTTAAGTTTAAAATTATATTTAAGGTAGATGTTGCTAAATCGAAATTATTTTTCATTTTATGTATCACATTGATTACAAAAATTAATTGTTGTACCTTGGAACTCTTTTACAACTGAGGAACATCTGAAACTCAATGCAACTGTTAACCAACACCAAGGTCAGGATTTTCAATACAAATGTCAAGACAGTTCTCCTGTATGAGGCAGAAACTTGGAGAACTACGAAAGCCATCATTCAGAAGATAAAGGTGTTTATTAACAGTTGTCTACGCAAAATACTTCGGATCCATTGGCCAAACACTATTAGCAACAACGTACTGTGAGAGAGAACAAACCAGATCCCAGCAGATGAATAAATCAGGAAGAAGCGCTGGAAGTGGATAGAATACACATTGAGGAAAGCACCAAACTGTGTCACAAGACAATCCCTCACATGGAATTCTCAAGGCCAAAGGAGGAGAGGAAGACCAAAGAATACATTACGCCGGGAAATGGAGATAGACATGAGAAAAATGTAAAAGAATTGGATGGAACTAGAAAAGAAGGCCCAGGACAGATTGTGTTGGAGAATGCTTGTCGTCGGCCTATGCTCCATGAGGAGTAACAGGCGTAAGTAAGTAAGTAAGTTAGTTAGAACTCTTTTGTTAGTTTAAATAAATAAATCGTGGACAAATCATTTATTCCTGCAGAGATCAAAGAAACAAATATATTTTAAGTTTTATTGAATTGTTTGAAAACTTCTTCAAAATAAAGTCTACTTAAAAGATGCTTAATTGATTATTCAATTTATTGAAAATAATAAAAGGAATTTGCTTTTTACCATTCCATTTACACTAAATGTGCATAATCTTCACCATTAAAATGTAATTATATTACAATATTTTACTACAGTTTGCGTAAAATTTAAAAAAAAGTGGATACTACAAAGTATCTATTTTCATGATACTCCTTTTTAATTTCAACATTTTTTTCTCTCCCAAGAAAATCAATTGTGTGGTGTGTTTTTTTTTTATTGTCAACTGTTACTTCAGTTTTTATTTCAGATCCAAAAATTCATCTAATGAATTCTGGTTTATTTGTTTTTATGCTTGAAAAACAAACTAGAGAACCTAATGTATGTAGATGCTGTCGAAAATGATTTATAGAATATATTTTGATGATGTAAATCATTGGAAAAAAATCATTGGTTTATCTTGTTTGAAAACCAATAGAAGACAGAATAACCTTTTACGAATTGTGACAGTGGATAAAGAAATTGTTCTTATTATGAAATTCGATTTCACGATATTGTCCAATACTCATTCATTACCTGAGGTGAATAATTGTCTCACACCTGACACAGTTGAACTCCATTAATTACGGCTGCTCACTATGTATTCAGAAGTTGAATCTTGAAGCTAGTTCTGCGGACAGTGTCGTGGATATACACTGTTTAGGAGTCTCACATTAGAAACAAAATTGCCATTCACTGCCTTCATGTATTCAATGATGATCTAAGGTCATTTGAGACCTAAAATCTTTGAAAAATTCTATCTCTCCACAAATACCTTTATATTAAACTGGATTTGTTAAATTTGACAGTTTTGTGATATGAAGTTCATCAGAATTATGTGATATATTATTCCAATACATTTTTCCTTTACAATTCTTAAAAAGATTCATAGTTCACCATAAATATGAAAGGACTATATGTGATTATATCTCATTTTATTGTGTTTAACAAAATAAATACGTGTAGGCATACATTTTTAGAAAGTTACGATTCTGACATGCAAATATACATAACTGAATAAATAATTTAATTGAAGCCAAACTAAATACTTTATGTAGACCAAATAACACCCATATTCTCTATGCATCCACATATAAGAATGATTTCAATTCAGCCTTTGTAGTATTTTATAAAAGTGATCTAGGGCGGATACCTGAGTTTGATAAAGCCGTACATATATAAAACCCCTCGCAGATTTTTCAAAGTACTTTACCGTCGTTTTAAATTTGACCTAATAATATTAATGTCAATTTAATATGTAGAATGGTAGGGTGTATTTTTCCTTACTTTTCTTTTAGTTCATTCGTTTTATTATTCTGTGTCTTGTGTATATCCATCTTTAAAAATATAAATATATCATTCATTTATAAAGGATCAACTATTTAACTGAACTGTCCATCCAAAATATGAACAAAAACGAATGATTTGTTTAAATTTTAAAATAATATTTCGAACTGGATACAAATGTTTTCAAACTCTGAGACACTTTAAGAAGTACATTTATTACAATGAATCAAAAAATTGACTTAGAAGTGATCTTACAACAAAATCTTATCCATCATATCAACAAACTCCAATATTTAATGACAAAATGTATGTCATTTACGTTGTCTTTTTCTTTCAGGCATTTGAATTATTAATCATAGTATTTGTTCAGTGATCGCAAACTAATCTTAACTCATGTAGTTACATCGTTTATATAGGAGCTATTTTGATGTAATCTATGTCCCATCTTGTATGCTAGACCAAAATACCATTAAATTCACAATGTAACTGATCGTACTGAGACATTTCAAACAGATTTAGATAGAGTTATCAGCATTTTCATCATGATAAATGACTTGCCTAACTAGTAGTATCTGTTAATACATTTTAGTCTGCTTCAAGTATTTAGACTTTGTACTTACCACCAGTATGTATATTTTATTTACATTAGGAGCATTATTCGTTCCATAGAATTCACCTAGATTGGACAAATTAACCTCGTAATAAGTGATGTAAAAAATCAACCTTGATTTCCTCACAGTACTGCTGTGATGCATGCTATTGGTATCAATATATATAAATAGTATGTATCATCAATCGTTTTTTTAGCGAGTTAGTTTTCTACGGGATACAACAATCGGAAGATGCAAAAACCTTTACATATCTGGGCAGCATCATTGATGAACACAGTGGATCTGATGCAGATGTGAAGGCACAGATCGGCAAAGCAAGAGCAGAATATCTACAACTGAAGAACATCTAGAATTCAAAACAAAGGTCGACCAACACTAATGTCAGAATTTTCTATAGAACTGTTAAAACAGTTCTCCTGTATGAGGCAGAAACTTGGAGAACTACGAAAGCCATCATTCAGAAGATAAAGGTGTTTATTAACAGTTGTCTACGCAAAATACTTCGGATCCGTTGGCCAAACACTATCAGTAACAACCTACTGTGAGGGAGAACAAACCAGATCCCAGCAGATGAATAAATCAGGAAGAAGCGCTGGGAGTGGATAGAATACACATTGAGGAAAGCACCAAACTGTGTCACAAGACAATCCCTCACATGGAATTCTCAAGGCCAAAGGAGGAGAGGAAGACCAAAGAATACATTACGCCGGGAAATGGAGATAGACATGAGAAAAATGTAAAAGAATTGGATGGAACTAGAAAAGAAGGCCCAGGACAGATTGTGTTGGAGAATGCTTGTCGTCGGCTTATGCTTCATTGGGAGTAACAGGTGTACGTAAGTAAGTAACGTATCATCAATCGGAAGTGTAATACCTAAAAGCAAATGGTTAAGAAGATTGAAGAAAAGAGAACGAGAACAGTGAGTGATTGCTGTGGTAATGATTGACTAGTAAAGTCTGAGACGACTGATTGACACTTTGCAAATGATGTATTTACCGCATAGTTTTCAGATTTTACTAAGATATTCTGTAATTTTGTATTCAAATACATTCAATTGTCCCTACTTGTGTTCGCGTTCATTACATTGCTGCCACAAACTAATAGAACTATCTGAATACCTCCTACTGTTCGATCATAAGTATTATAATGTTATGATTTTTGAAGCAATTCCTTTTTCATTTATTCCTTCAAACGATCTTTCAATATAATGAATCTATATGATCAGGTTGATTTCTTAAATATAAAATATCTCTTCTTTTGTCCATTTATTTTCTTTCTTTTTAAATAAGATTGTCTTATATACTATTTCTTTAACACTTACATAAATGCATATCAATAGATATGCATTAATAATAATTTTTAACTATGTTTCTTCTAATGATCAATTGATCTATCACTATTATAAAGTTGTAAGCTCAATTATACATCATCCATATTTATCCATATTCATTTGGTAAACGTTTTATGATTAAAATGAAATTTGTTATCGAATCCATAAATGTATCCTTAGTATAGTGGAGAAGATTTGTAGCTCAGGTGGATGATTTCGATGGAGTTTTATTCTCATAAACGGATAATTGGGTCGTGGAGATTTCATCTTTCTTCTGAACGGCATCATCAAAACAAACTTTAGGTAGAAGTGAAGTAATACAACCAAAACAAAGAAGTAAACAATAACAGGCTCAAGGTCAACAAGAACCAATCAACATAGAGGTATACAGGACAAATTGTGAACCCTATATGGAAAAATTCAAACACTTCACTTCTACCTGAAGTTCGTGCTGATGATATCATTCGGAGGAACGATGAACACTCCACGACTAAACCATCCAGATCAGAAAACAAAACTCCATCAATAGTATCCTTACTAAAGTATATTTTTACCGTAACTGGTACTCATCTTTTTCCAATATAACACTAAATGGGATATTCTCCTTTAAATTTTGAACTATTGAATGATTATAGTAAACTACCATTTACTAATTTAAACATAAATCAGTTAATAGAATTTAATGAATGTATTATCATTTTGTTTGAAGTGTAACCGATTTTGTTAAATTACAGTAAAAAGGTAATGAATATTTCATTTTCATAATTAATATAAATAGAAAACTCAATAAAATAATTTACCTTCTGGTGTTTGAGGATCAGTTGGTTGATTACCATTTTCTTTACGTTTAATTTGATCTTTATCAGTCTGTAAATTTAATATTAGAATGTCTTATTAAATAAGTAAATATTTAAAGCCTTAATGACTACATTTGTAAAAAAAACTGTTGTTTTACTTTTTATGTGATAAATTATGTTTACAAATGTGATAAATTTAGTATATCGGCACGTTAGTTGTAGGATCTTCTATGGTTTGTAATAAATATCACATTAATTAAAATAGCCAGTGTATCAGTGTTGGGGACGCCAGATCCCCAGAATTCACTTAGGAAAGGACTTAATTTTGTAATTTATTTAGAAAATTTGAATTTCTTTGTTTTCGCGCCAAAGGCGCTCTTGTCACCCTCATGTCGTATTTCCCACTGAGAAATATCTTAAATGCTATTGATTTGTTGCGTCTTTTAGTATGCTATTTGGTAACTCTCCTCAAGGACGGTTTTGCACTATATATATATATATATATATAGCGGGGCTGGGACTCATCAATAGCTTGCTTACTGATCTTTGGTCACCGAATCTTGTTCTTGTTCGCAGATTAAGTGAACTCGTGATAGCTTCAAATCTAGCAATCAGTATGTTATATCTTCATATATTATCATTTGTACTGGTAACATTATTCACTTATCAGCAGTTTGTTAACTCATTAGTTATATTTCTTATTGATGTGAACATTTGGTTCAATTGAATACGATCTCTACGCATAAAATACTAATCAACATTTGGCAAACAAGTAAATTACAGTACATCAGTTTAGGTATACTGACTATTGATTTGAAATATATTTTCCCGATTTTCTTGGAAACGAAATATATTTTTTCAGGGACAAAAATCAATCAGTGCTAATGATCCATAAATATCACGCTTTAGGTATAGAGTCTAGATACATTTGGATTAAACAACGTTTTCTTGATAATAATTGTGGAGCATACAGGAAACGACATGAGTAATATTGGTGAATAGAGGCTTAAGGCCCTAAACGTACGCTCATTTAACACGATAACATTTCACCGAAGACTAATAATTATGATTACCATCTTGGTATGATTATTGAATTCATTAATCAATAGTGTGAAAGCCATCAATGAATAAAATATCTAAAAGGTCTTCATTGTCTGTAGCCATTATCACTAACGTATAGCTACACTAATATGGACTGACAATCATTTTGAAATCATAAATCACATGCTATCTATGTTTACTTTGATTTTATTCGGCTTATAATAAAAGTTTATTCAAGCTGTCTTGCAATTAAATGATGGCAACATTCAAATTGTGAATTATTCCAGAGTTAGATACAACTGTGATTCCATTTTTTCAAAAGGAGAAGATATACAAGTTTAATGAAAGTAATTTTTCATGTTAATCTTGAAAGATTTTTTTCATTATTCTTTAAAAAGATAAATTTTTCACTAATTACTTACCTTATCTTTTCTTAAAGAATGAAAGGCTCGTTTCCATAATCCTTTAATATTTTGTGAACCGGATGTTGTGACAGATTTCAGGTCACCAGAACCGTCTTTCTTCATATCAATAATTTTTAACTGAATAAAATGTAAATAAAAATGACTTATATTATGACATTTGTTTTATGTCAAATAAATCAAACAATTATCAGTATAGAAGTTAGGAAGATTGTTAAGTTTTTGATTGAGATCATGAATCGATTGATGTTAGACCACTATTGACAAACTGGAAACACTGAACGGCCGTTTCATCCTATTGTGGGACTCCTCAGTAGTGCACATCCACGATCACGTCCGCGGGATTCGAACCCAGGGCCTTCAGTCTCGCGCGTGAACGCTTAACCTACTGGACTACTGAGCCGTTATTCACTGGTGTTAATGTCTAACCCCAACCGATCCACGAAACTTCGCAACCATGTTCCATTGTACTGGGGTAGACATCTGTTTCTACCCAACACGGATTACATTCAGAGTTTAAATAAACATGAATAAGGATATATTTAGTGCTGTAGAAAAGATGCAAATTATTAAAGTGTAGAGTTACTGTTAATTAATTACTGAGAACGTACACAAAGCACTAGATTAACCTTTTTTATAACTGCGTATATATGTGAATCATTTGAAGCATTTTACATTTCTGTCTGTTGTAATACAATGTAATTTGAATAACGTGAAATTATTTTATGTCATCAGCTGGAGATAACACTTTGTACAAAATCAGTAATTAACTTTAAATTATACAGTCTCTACTGAATAATGATTGTACATGCTTTAGTTTTAGTAAGAAGATTTGACCAGATTATTGATATAATAGTAAATAGCAGTAGTAAACCATAATTTTGCATGGATATTGGTATTGTGTCAAAAATCAATTACAATCTAAAATATTGATCTTTGAATTCAAGATTTATGGTTTATTAACAGCATAGTCGTCAAATGGTCTAGATTTACTCAGCTTGATTTCTATAAGATTGTTGACGTATATACTTGTGGAAGAAAATACGAGAAAGAAATTTATATCGGATACTCTACTTTCTCAGATTCTTAGCTTAAATACCATATTTGAGCGTTTTAATAATGTTGTTCGTTGTTTGTCGTAAAATTTCTTTGTTACTAATTAGCAAAAACGTAAAAAATGAACTCGGAATCTAAGTGTAAAACTATATTTTAAAGTCTGGAATTGCATATTCACATATTGCTTTGTTTACTAACAGATAAGTAAAGTTTTCCTTTAAATTCCCCAAACAGGTTATGTATATTGCCAGCCTAAAATGTTAAAAAAATCAATAGGTTGTAAAATACCAAATGGTTAAAGATGTGAACGACCTATTATTGATTACTAAATTAATAATAAACTATCAACGCAGCAAAACACAATTTGATTTGATTTACTAAACTTCCGTATAACGACCAATGTTGTTTTACGAATATCAGTAACTATAATGTTTTCAGTTTCAAAAGAAATTCATTCAGCTATTCAATACCAAAAACCCAAGGATTTTAAAATATCACTTCAATTTCAAACGATAATCTCAAGTCTTCAATCCTCTGAACTATAATATTTCATCATATGTTAATTTTTTTTTACAAAAGAACAACTACCTCCAGATACACATCGTTTTGATCAAAAGTCAAATGTTGAACAATATATAATCTCTTAAAGTTGAGTCAGCAATTGATCAAAACCTTTATATTTGAATACATTTCAGACTATAATCAATCAAAGAACAATGTCTACACAAATTATATTTAGAATAGATAATAAAACTTCACCAATGAATTCTTTGATAAAGAAAGAACAATTAGATTTATGTAAAGAAAATAATGTCACAAATGTGTTATGTACTGACAAGAATAATGAATGGTAACTTTTGGAATCTATTAATGGACCAATACTAACGCATATTTCTGTTGTATAATTATTAAGTAACTAACTATGGATATTCATATTCCTCTTATTATAAGCGTTATTTTGACTCATAAACTATTATTATACGTTTTACCATTCTTGAGTTATACCTAGTATATTAATTACTACCTGCTCATTCACAGCCACATCTGGCTAATTCTTGTACAAATGTTTCATATTTTATTGGTACGTTGTGGTCTGCTTGATTGGTATATAAACAGAATATGTTTGAAATACAATGATTCATATTGCAGAGGCTGAGACTGGTGTTCTGGACTTAACTGGCTGGGCTAGGAGGAAATCAGGGCCAATCAGGACTCTGGGCTGCTCGCACGTGTTTCACGCGTCCTTATTTCGACCGATAATTCACTGCCCTCTAATCGGCGGTCACAAGTTGTAACAAAATGGAATGAACAATGTTTAGTGTCTTTCAGTCAACTTTACGGGATAAGATTTTCTTTTTACAAAAGAAAAATGATAAATACAAAATTTCAATAGTTGAAATCATGAGCCAATTGAAGCTAGACCACCATGGAAAACCTGGAAGCATTAGACAGACATTTTATTCTAGTATGGAACCCTTCAACATAATAGTCTAGCTTCAATTGACTCATGATTTCAACTATTGATATTTCTAAAATCTCTACAAAACCCCTTCTGAAAATACAAGATTGTTTATGACATTTTCTTTAATAAAGTAAAAATGAAATCATAAACAAAACATATTGGGTTAATTGAATTTAAACAGCTTTTAAAATGTTTATTTGATCTCGATTGAAAAACAATCCATTATGAATAATACACAAAATAAATTCGTGTGAAATAAAGAAAAAAAATAATAGTAAAGCTATTTGACATTGATTGAGAAATTAAACTAAGTCTATCTTTAATATGATTGATAAAGTTAACCACATTTACAAACACGGATAATGTTGTGTAATTCAATTTACTAAAGTTCAATGAAATAAGCTTGAAACGAATGAATTTAATCACAGTAATATATATATATATATATATATATATATACATATATATGTTCAGACGATTATAGATGTTTCGCAAAGTACAGATATTACTTTTTTCTTTCTACTGAATTCATATCAATGTTATACCAATCATGCATCGTCTCATAACTTTTGTTTTATTCTATAAGTACATATTTCTATATTCTATGTAGTATGGAGTTCAATAAAGAAATAAACTAGGGAAAATCAATTCATTTCCTTATGTTTACCTTATTACTAAGTAATCAATAAATGAATAGACAGATATCAGAAGTATTTTTTATGGACAAAATATATTTTCATAATAATTATGACTATACAAATGAAGATGATGTATACAGGGTAATGGTTGTTGCCATGGAACTATTTTGAATAAATGCATGATTTATCTCACTATTAATCATTTTATTATGGCTAACTACCTTAAAATGTGATTTATTCCAAAATAATTTTAAAAAAAGACTTTAACTATAGTATGGAAAATATTATCAGCAGGTGCATAGTGTAGTAGTTATGATTTTCGGTTTGAATACAAATTTGTTACACTGCATAACTTTGCTAAGTACCGTAGAAAAAATATACATCGAAATGAGACTGTTTTTAATAATCGTCATCTTAAGTCACCAAGAAAAACTATGAAGCCTGTTTGTCGAGATATTTTGAATAATGTCAGTTCACTACCTTGTATACATTGATTGACAATATTTATTTGATAAACATAAATAAACATTTAATTAATCACGGAACGTTTAGGAATCCAAGGCATCACAAATATATGTATTGACGCTTTTGACAGTTTAACTATGAAAATTTATAGTCTAGAGAATACAGCTTTTAAACTTCTGTTGACTATTTCAAAGTAAAAAAACTTCAAACATTAATTACAAATAATATGTTTCAATGCAAAAGATATACGTGAATAACTACAATTAGATCACTGGTGCATATCTTTAGTATAATGTTTTTTCCATAAATTATAGTATAAAGCTTTGAGTTATCAAGTCTACTGTTTTTGAAATATGTCACTTAGTCCCTGATAGTATTGTGTGACAGTCAGTTTAAAGCTTAACTTAAAGACTATAACTGAGACATACACACTCATTGTATGAAATCTTCATAATATCATTGTAGTAAACTAATATATCTCAGAATAGATGAAAGCGGTATATTTCAACGGTATTTTTCAAAAGTAAGAGCAAAGAAGGATATATACTGATGTTTTATCCTTTGTTCAAAAGGATAAAAACTATATAACTTCCAAAACTGAAAATACAATATTTCATTTTGTTCGAAATTCTAAATAAATTTCATGATTTGCTTGTTTTCAAGAACACAGTACGTAAATATATCAAAATAATCATTATCATTAAACATTTGACTACTATTGTATATATATATAAGGTGAGACGTTCATGATCAACTTTATTACAACCTATAATAAAAGTTTACCAGGTTATACAAATAGACTATAGCAGATTTACTACACTGAACTCATTTGCATTCTTTACATCCACACTTCTATATTGCCTTACACAACGCTTGGGTTAGTAATGAACGACCATAATAAAACAACCATAATTTTAGAATAGAATGAAGATCTTTTAATATAGAGGCTCCTCAGTAGTGCGCATCCACGACCCTGCCTCGTCCAGTGCTTCCAGGTTTTCCATGGTGGTCTAGCTTCAATCGACTCAATATCTCAACTGTTGAAACTACTACGATCTCCACAAAACCCCTTCTGTTACTAATACAGAGTTTGTAACTAGCCAATAAATAGAACTGCAGTCATATTAATATGTCTACAAAAATGTGCTTCATTTAAATGATTGCTAAAAAGTGAATCCAAATTAAGACTAGTTGTTGTTAGATTGAAGCAAAACCGAAATTTTTTAAAAATATTTATCAGTTTTGGGTGTCCTGTTCTTTTTTTCAATTTTTCTTCATTATATAACATACAGAATATTGTTTACTTGATGGAGCGGTATGTCAGAGTGAAATTATGTTTTTTTTAACCGAATTAGATTTCTGTTTCACATTCAATCGGTATCTAATTCAATAATGGTAATTTGTTCATGATATTTCCAATGACATTCATTCAATACAATATGTTTTGTAGCAATTTATTGTGAAGATCATTCAGTATGATATGTAGCATGCATTTTTCA